TAACAAAAAAATATTTGTTCGTTTTGTTTTTCTGTCTCTCAACAGTAGTTTTGGTCTCACACCGGTGACTCCTAACTTACTATCTCACGTATTCCTTAGAGACAGGTGAGGCGTTATTCCATTGGATTTCACATTTCGGCTTTAGCCTAAAAATGAGCGACGAAATTCACGTTGTCATATTACTAAAATAATACACAGGTGATTTAATATGTTGTGGATTTTTTAAAAGAGATATATCTACAGAATAGAATTGTTATTGAAGAGCTTTGCTAAATCAAAAATATGTATATTTAATACAATAAAAACGTATACAAAATCTTAAATGATCATCCAAAGGAATTACTTCGCACGAAATTTCTTAAATTCCGACGAGGTTCAGTAAACAAAAGCTTCCGACAAATAGAAACTTTATTTCACGCAAAACATTCTACTAATTGAAGATCTCCCGCAGAAAGACAAATGTCACGTCATGTTTCAGAAGTTTCTAAATTCACTCACGCAAGAAAGATACTTAGGAAATACGAGGTTGGTACATCATCAAATTTTTATATGGTTCGGCTTTTTTTAAATAGGCAATGTTATCTCCATCCAATACTTCGTTAATTTCCTGTGCACTGCAGGTCATTGTACGATTATATCAAGATAATGGAAATAAAAATTATAATAAGTTAAGGCGCTCCCTAATCTGGATTCGAAATGACTTTTGTTCCCACACATTAGGCTTATCATAAAGTTAAAAATCGAATGTGATATTTAAAAATATTGATAGGCCGGTGAAATTTTTATTATACATTTACGGGTATTTTAGAGAATCAATTGAACAAATCAATATAAACAATAATAGTAATAATTGTTTTTAATTTAAAAGATTAACTACCGCCAACTGAGCAGTGTTGATCCACACCATCTGAAGCCACTGTGTTCGTGTGACTATTGCGCATTTCCAGTGATTTATTTGTCGGAAATCATCCGGATCTGGAATTAATTCCCCCTGGCGGTGTTTTCCGAGCGTTGTGACATCTCCTCTTTTAAAGAGGTTGTTTTACCCTACAAATTCGGTGGTAATCTAAGGGGTTATTCCAGATATGGCTGATAAGTGAGCTCATGAAGTTCAACCTGACCTAGTTTGCTAAGACTAGCCCTAGCAAGAGCAGTGCTTCGCAGCATATATCACCGGACTAGGATCGCGACCCAGTGAGAAAATCCAGCGGGAAACTCAGTGGGCTATGTCTATGAATTAGTTCGTCCGTTTCGACGAAGAGTTCGACGACAGTGGTTCACGAGGACGGTGAAACGGGGTTTGAGAGGAATTGTTAGCAGTAGGCAAAAGCTTGACTCTGCCCCTAGCAACTCTGGTATGAGTGACGACGACTACACGAGGTTGGCTGTTTTATTTATTTATTGCTTATGTAGGTTGTCGAGCTCGCAGCCCACCTGGTGTTAAGTGGTTACTGGAGCCTATGGACATCTACAACGTAAATGCGCCACCCACCTTGAGATATAAGTTCTAAGACCTCAATATAGTTACAACGGCTGCTCCACCCTTCAAACCGAAACGCATAAGGCAAATAGGCAGGGCGGTGGAACCTACCCGCGCGGACTTACAAGAGGTCCTACCACCAGTCGTATGCTCGTATGGACGTTTCCCAACGAAGGCAAAAAAAAAAGATATGCCATGTCCAGTTCACTCCCAAAATGCGAAAAAAAACGGCATGCTTATTAAGACTGACAAATTTGTTCCTTTTTTTTTTTATTATTGCTTAGATGAGTGGACGAGCTCACAGCCCACCTGGTGTTAAGTGGTTACTGGAGCCCATAGACATCTACAATTTAAATGCGCCACCCACCTTGAGATATAAGTTCTAAGGTCTCAGTATAGTTACAACGGCTACCCCACCCTTCAAACCGAAACGCATTACTGCTTCACGGCAGAAATAGGAGGGTTTAGGGTCCTAGTTTCACCATCGTTGTTTTTGCTCGATGACGTGCCAGTCCAATTTTTTATATTGAAATTTAAAAGCGTCATCTTATTTCAAATATTTTATTTCGGAGCAGTATGTCGCCGAGGACTGTTAGACTGAATTACTTACTATCTCACGTTTATGTCATACTTAATCTTTACGATCTGACCCGATATAAATACGGTATGCCTATTTATTGCATATCGTGATGGTAGCCATATTTTATATGTTCAAAGTGTACTTTATCATTCTGTTTAAAATAATGTAATTTTATCAAATTGATGTTCTAAGGTACCATTAGTATTGGAACCAAAAATATGTTGAACCTATGATTCAAAATAAGTAGTGCAAAGATTGTTAAAGCAATTTGCTTGAAATAGATATTGGCCATAGTTACAATGCTATCTGTTTTGCAATTATTATTTTCATGCAAATACCTCCTTCATACTTATTTTAAAATACTCATTATTTATGTACATACGTGTTTTATATAAATTTAATTCGACTTTTTTCAAACGTGTTTTTTAGGATTGAGGGATTACTGGTGGCTTCGAGGCCTTTCCAGTTTCACCAGAACAGGCGAGTAAAGGCTCAACCAGAACGGGTGGGATCATAAACAACTGTCCGAGTACCTCCAAACGAGACCTAACAGCTCAAGAGCAGCTGCTTCGCGAATGAATCTACTACCGGATCGGAATCGCGACCCGCTGAGAAGATCCTGCGAGAAACTCAGCGGGGTTTAGTTATACGTCAAAATTTCGCCGATCGAAGAGTACGGTTACCAAAGTCCTTAAGCCTGCTCCGAGTGTTAGATCTGAAGGCGTCTAATTGGATCTGATGGATCCGTAAGGACGTGTCTAGGGCTACAAACGTGGTATGAGCTCGCTATAAGACCTATATTGCGTCTCTTTCATTAAAATACAGATTTAAAGAAGTCCAAAAGAGACAAAACATAGTAAAGGCTTGGTTAGGTTTCACTATTTCTCATTTCATGATTTATTGTTTATTATTCTATTACTAAATCTCAGCCGTTTTTAATAATTAAGTTCTTATAAGTCGAAAGTACTTTAACCCCCTCACTTGTATTTAATCTAAAACATTGAACAACTAACTTTAGTATAAATTAGGTTTCGATTTCCATTGTTTTGATTTTCATCGAAGGCAAGCCATAAATCCTCCTTTAAATTTCTGATTGGCTAAAATATCGTGACTTTAATGAAATTCCTCGTGAAACTGTCAACAAAGTAACTTTGGAGATTATTACTTTCAAATTAATTAATATCGGCTATTGAAATATATAACAGCATGTTTTATTATCGCCCAGAAGTTTAGACAAAGTGGTCTGAACTAATTAAACGCTCTGAGTGTTGTTATTTGTAAATAATTCGAATGGTATGGAAATAATATTTGACAAGTGAAAGGAATTTAAAAAAAAATTGATTCCGCAGACATATGTTCGTAACGAAGTCATCTCGGACAACTTTAAATAAATTTCCACTAATTAAATAAACTAGAGGTCCCGCAGTAGTCGAAATTCGACTATCATTAATTGGATGAATAAGTTTGTCACACAAGGTGGGCCGACGACCTATTGAGGTTCGCGGGGATCCGCTGGATGCAGGCAGCGCAGGACCGATCTTTGTGGCGAGGCTTGAGGGAGGCCTATGTCCAGCAGTGGACGTCCATGGGCTGATAGAATAGAATAGAATAGAAAATAAGTTTGTCCACTATGTTATGATTGTATTTTATACTTCTATAATCACAAATTCCGCCACGGCTACACTATAAAAAAATATTAATACAGACAAACAATATTTAATCTATTCTCAATTTGACAACAGACGTCAAGTTTTTTTTTTCTCTCCTACCTATGCTGATAGCCTTGAGAGGCTATTTCAGCTTCGCCCTAACGTTAGTAGGTGAGCTCGCGGGGCTCAACCGGAGAGTTGCTAACACTGACCCTAGCAAGAGCAGTGCTTCGCAGAATCTACCACCGGATCGGAAACGCGACCCACTGAGAAGATCCGGCGAGAAACTCAGTGGGCTGTGTCTATGGGTTANCCTATGCCGTGAAAACGGCAATCGGCGGGGAAAAGGAAAGGAACCCGCTCGGGCTGTATAGTGCTACAGCAGGCAGAATCGCGAGCGGGGGTCTAGTCTTGAAAAAGACTGTTGTTTTGGGAAGGGTTAGGAAATCGCTAGCCTGTGAGTGCCACAGGAAGCCTGATCGTAGCGATTGGTTTTGCCTTGAAAAAGGCAGTTGGTAAAGGATGGGTTCGCGGTTACAACACTTTAGCGCACAAAAATGGACTCCGAGACGCAAATCGCAAGCGACCAACGGATCGGCACGTCCGCACTACTGAATTGTAAGCACGATGTATTCACGGTGACGTCAAGAACAAAAGTTTGACAATAAATAGTATGCATGCGTGTGTGCGTCAAATACATGGTATGTAGTGTGTGTAATGTTTTCTTTATTGATTTAATGTATCTTTTATGCATTATTTTAAAAAAATTATGAGCATTGTGCACTTCTTCTTTATATTCTCTAAAAGTGTGGAAAATTTCATACTCCTCCGTCCGCGCAATTTTCGTAAAGAGGGATACAAAGTTTTTGCTTCACGTATTAATATATAGATAACACTATTTTAACAGAAGTTACATGCATACAGCAAACAGAACATGATCATGTATCACAACATAGTATAAAACAAAGTCGCTTTCTTTGTCCCTATATCCCTATGTATGCTTAAATCTTTAAAACTACGCAACGGATTTTGATGCAGTTTTTTTTAATAGATAGAGTGAGTGAAGAGGAAGGTTTATATGTATAATAACATCCATTTAATAGTGGAGAAATACTGTTATTTTTGAGGTTTCAAATGTGATGTCGTAAATAATCAATAATAAAATTTCATGTTTCCGAAGCGAAGCGAGGGCGGGTCGCTAGTTTATAAATAAAATTCATATGAATTCATACATGACATGTATCTGGAGTAGGTGACAAAAGTAAAAGAAATTAAAACGATTTTAGCATTTTTAATCGTAGTCAGCATATTCGTTCATATTTGTGAATACAGCCTGCTCCTTAAAAATGTTTTTCATGTGATGATTCTGACAGTACTCTAAAGGCACTTCGACGTAACCTGATGATTGAACAAAGATAATTAATATCGCTTTGTTTGTTCCTCCTTCGCGAGCGGTTCGTCCGATTGTACTGAAACTTTATCCAGATAAGGCACTTTAGTTTTCTGTATTACAACGCTGCAAGATAGCTGACGCATGAACCGGATTAAGAGATTTTTGAAGTATTTAGATTTATGGATATTTACTGTTGGTAGGACCTCTTGTGAGTCCGCACGGCTATGTACCACCACTCTGCCTATTTCTACCGTAAAGCAGTAATGCGTTTCGGTTTGAAGGGTGGGACAGCCGTTGTAGCTATACTAAGAACTTAGAATTTATATATCAAGGTGGGTGGCGCATTTACGTTGTAGATGTCTATGGGCTCCAGTAACCACTTACCACCAGGTAGGCTGTGAGCTCGTCCAACCATCTAAGAAATAAATAAAAAAATAAAAAAATCCCCAATATTTTTTAATATACAGGAGAATATCACCGGATCCCAGAGTATGTGGGAATTGAACCTCACTAAAAACTCCTGCCGCTCACAGCCGACGCCCTACCCCGGACCGGGCCGGAGCCCAGTCGGGGCCACAGAGACGGTGGGACAGGGTTGACGAATAGCATATTATTACATCCATCCCACCGTTCCGAGATCATTTTTTTAGAATAACACATCTTTTATAGATAATGTATTTTTATGGACGGTTGGTGGAGATTTAAGAATAACAATTCCAAAAATCTGTATGAAAACGACCGAAAGCAAAGCAATTTCAACCTTATGTTTTGAAATATAATATAGCTATGGTAATAAATTAATGACTCGTCACTTACTACTCAGTAATACTTTAATGACGTATAGTGCATTTTCAATTTGAACTCTGAATTAAGCTCCCCGACGTTCTTTCGGTGTTAAGTGATTTTTTTCAAACGCTTTAACAATAGTGCTTTGCAATAGGCGGCGGTTTGGCTGTATCCCAGCCTTTTTTTATATATTTTTATTCCTTAAATGGGTGAACAAGCTCACAGTCCACCTGGTGTAAAGTGGTTACTGGAGCCCATAAAGATCCACAACGTAAATGGGCCACCCATCTTGAGAAATTAGTTCTAAGGTCTCAGTATAGTTACAACGGCTATCCCACCCTTCAAACCGAAACGCATTACTGCTTCACGGCAGAAAGGGGCCGGATGGTGGTACCTACCCGTGCGGACTCACAAGAGGTCCTACCACCAGTAGAATAGCCACAATATCAGCTTTGTCCAAAGGTGATGGTAAATACTGACCATTAGATGGAACATACTTAAAATTAGATTTAGTTAATCCTTTGTGGACTCAGATCCAATAAGAGTCCATCCATCAAACACAGTCGTATTATATGATACAATATTATCCAGTGAGAGAACATTAAGCAGTAATTAACTACTGATTCTAGTTTATCAATCAATCTCGTTAGTCTATATGGACGATTATCTCGCAAATTCCTAGAGAGATTGGACAACACTTGATCATTATTAACAGTAGATAGTAATTAATTACCTTCCATTGAAACACGTTTCTATTATCTATAGGGATAACATATGGAATATTTATATCCCACCCGTAGTTATACATAGAGCATGCTTATACTAGTCGGTCCACACACCGTCTCAACATTGGAGCATGAGGCGTTGAGGCATTCCATTGGTATAAAGGCGATTCTAAGATTATAATTCATAAATAGGACGGAAGTTTGAGAAAATCAGGCTAGATCAAGATTAAATCGTACTAGCAGGTAAAGCTATTTCTGGAAATATTTACAAATTTGGAATTGGGTATCTACAGGTTTTATTTTATTTTATTGCTTAGATGGGTGGACGAGCTCACAGCCCACCTGGTGTTAAGTGGTTACTGGAGCCCATAGACATCTACAACGTAAATGCGCCACCCATCTTGAGATATGAGTTCTAAGGTCTCAGTATAGTTACAACGGCTGCCCCACCCTTCAAACCGAAACGCATTGCTGCTTCATGGCAGAAATCGACAGGGTGGTGGTACCTACCCGAGCGGACTCACAAGAGGTCCTACCACCAGTCGAAAGTATATTATCTTTGGTATATTTTGTTGCTTACCGAAAATTGGTAATGTAGTTTTGGATACGAACAACCTCGCCAATAAAAATAGTTAGTTAAATTATTTTTGGCGTAATAAATCACGTCAATTTAAAATATTTATTTAAATGTTCTCAGTATACATATGTACCTGATAGGTCACTGTCCCCTCTGCAATTCAACATGTCCAATTGACATCCATTGTTGAATGTTCTATAAGCATAATCCCTCATCTTGGATGCTCCGCATACGGGGCTGTAATGATTTGGACAAAACACGGGACAGGATTCGCCGTAACTTCTTCTGGTACGCTGATTTTTTATGCAGAATTTTAGCGGAGCGGAAACGTAGTCTAAGAGAGAAACAGAAGAATTTTCCTTATCCATAAAATAATTTGAGATGCGTTCAAAGCGTAAGGTATTGTAAAAATGTATTGTATATGTATGTATGTATGTAAATATGTAACGGCCGTCTGGTGTAGTGGCAAGTGACATGGTCACTACACAAGGGGGTCGCGGGTTCGAATCCCGCCAAGGGAAGATATTTGTATGATAAATGTCTTTTCCAGGGTTATGGATGTTTATTATATATATGTATGTGTATAATAAAAATCTTACATTTATTTCCGTTATCTGGTACCTGTAATACAAGTTCTTTACGAACTTAGTACGGGACCAGTTAATGTGGCGTGATTGTTAGTAAATATTTATTATTATTTATTATTTATTGTCAACTGTATTATATAGCAGTGCTGAGGTGTCTGCAAGCGTAATAAATAGCATCAAGCCTTTTTTTTTTTTTGTTCATTATCCAAATTTGTCAGTTTGTAGAGTGAGAACAACTGTTAAATAATACAATTTAGTCTTCGACATCACGTTGAGTGACTACACTTTGTAACGTCTACAGACTCTTGTAAGCATTCTAACACAACAGTAATTAAAAATTATTAATTAGCATTTATGTAAAGTTTTTTTAGATCTTCTCACAGGCTCAATGGCTTGGCTTTGGGGTTTGAATTTTCTCCTTTATACTAACAGAAACACACATATTACAAGACTATCTATTTATGTATATACCCCAAAATCGAAATATCTTTCACAAAGGTACTAAATCAGTCCAGGAAGAAACGCGTACGCTTTGGTACAAAAGTCAGTCATTTGGAACGTAAAAAGTTATATATTATCTGATAATCAAAAACCAGCCTATTATCATATAAATTTTATATATTATTAAGTTTGACAGCTCTCTCTCAATGTAGTAAAGTCCAAACTGGTATTAAATTACCGAAAGAGTATTGTGAAATGTTAGGAAAGTTAATGGACTCTTTGGACAGGAGAATAAATCATTATTTTCGTTTGAAGCCTAAACAATCCCCTTTGTGGCAATGTAAATAGCTTATACATATTATTTATTTGACCATTAACAAAATTTTATGTAACATTGTAAAGAAAACGTATCATGATGTTTATTAGGTTTTGATGTTTCTCTGTTTACGGCATCTCGGCTATTCAATATACTGTTAACCCCAATACGGAAATCATGATGTACCAGATCTAGTCAATTAGACTCTAGTCAATTAAAAAAATATGAGGAGTGATTTTTCTTTGATGATTATCATTAGCCTCAATTAGGGGATATTACGTCATAGTCTACTGTTAATACAGATTAATACAGATAGATAACTATGCTTTCCAGTTTTAGTAATCTGACATATCCTATTGCTTAACTTAGTTAAACCATTTATTATCCTGATTCAGGTGCAATACGAAATATTACCGTGACTTCTAAATTCCAAGATGTTTTAACGTTGGGAATCATGGACCTAAAACTATAAGCCAGATAAAATTACAGTACCTACTGCGCCGTCAATGATAATCAGGATGTGAGAAATAAAATACATACTCATTTTTAAACACCTCGAATAAGCACGCATAGAACAATGGCTTGGAAACATTTTGAAGGATACATTTCTAGCATCAAAGCCGCATTCCACTTGGTCCCTTGTTTCTAGATCACAATCGTGGTCAAGGCTGCATACAAGACTATTTGCTAAGCTGATTGCTGGAATAAATAGATTTCGTTATTGACATTTGGAAAATGATTCAATCAAATCATGCCTCCTTGCGTCGATAATCCACAATGCTGAGGTTTTGGCCTCATGAGGCTTTCTTGGGAGAATACACGCGGTGAGGTCCTACGTTCGTCCACGGCAGTGCTTTTGGAAGAGATTTAGTTCTTCGAGGCCACTGAAGCCTTATTTGGGTCCGGCTAATTAACCACCGCCAGACATTCGGCGTTGACTGTTTTACGGTGGAAAGGTCGAACTCAAACTCAACCCTCCATTTTTCTCATCCGGGCTTAGGACCAGCATTGGCGGAGCTCAAATCATATAAGTGTCGCTTTTTAAGCTGTGCCCACACCAGTTTATTTTAAATGTCTTTAGAGGTCATAGTACGGACGTAGAATCACAATGCATAGTTTGATGAAGTTCAAGGCTGGAATCCAATTATCAACAGAAAAATCAGTATCATAACTAAACCTACTAAGCTAAATTGATGTAAACATACACTTGTCTATCTCTGCAACAAAGCAGTCATAAGCCACATTTTAAAGAAAGACTATTTAGCCATTTTTTCAATAGGATTAAGACTTTTGTCTCAATAAAATTACATTCACAATCTTGTCTTCATCCTATTGAAAAATGGCCTTTCTTCAAAACGTGGCTTATGACTTTTTTCTTATTGCTTATATGTGTGGACGAGCTCACAGCCCACCTGGTGTTAAGTGGTTACTGGAGCCCATAGACATCTGCAACGTAAAAGCCGCCACCCACCTTGAGATATGAGTTCTAAGGTCTCAGTATAGTTACAACGGCTGCCCCGCTCTTCGAATCGAAACGCATTATTGTTTCACGGCAGAAATAGGCGGGGTGGTGGTACCTACCCGTGCGAACTCACAAGAGGTCCTACCACCAGTAAGATATATAACTAGTCAGGTTATAAGTATTGTCACACAGTAAAAACTTTTCTTTTAGAATGCTGGCCACAAAAAAGTTTATTGAATTCGAATTTCGTATTGTTCATGAAAATAAAAATGTATACTTTTAGAATTTTACTCATTTTTAAATATGGAGTGGACGCTTAAAGAAGACCGTGTTGCAGTTATTGCGTTGCATCGTTGCGCTTACGCGTCAATTCAAATTTTTAACATACTGAAAATTTTGAATATAACTAAAAGATTCGTTTATCGTACCATCAAACGATACAATGAAGACTCTAGTGTAGATGACAGGTCAAGAAGTGGTCGCCCTCGGTCTGTTACGACTACAGCAGTGATAAAAGCTGTGAAGGCGCGAATTCAAAGAAATCCCAAACGTAAGCAGAAACTGTTGGCCCTTCAGATAGGGTTAAGCAGAACCACGGTGAAAAGGGTGTTAAATGAAGACTTAGGGCTTCGGGCATATCGAAGAAAAACAGGACATCGTTTGAATGCTCGTCTAATGGACCTGAGACTGAAGAGTTGCCGCGCTTTGTTGAAGCGGTACGCGAGAAAAATATTATATCGGGAAAATCTTTTTTCGGATGAAAAAATTTATACCGTAGAAGAGAGCTACAACAAACAAAATGATAAGGTGTACGCACACAGTAGTGAAGAAGCGAGCAACCGTATTCCCCGTGTCCAACGAGGTCATTTTCCATCCTCGCTCATGGTATGGTTGGGAGTTTCTTATTGGGGCTTAACAGAGGTACATTTTTGTGAGAAAGGTGTAAAAACGAATGCAGTTGTGTATCAAAATACAGTCCTGACGAACCTTGTGGAACCTGTTTCTCATACCATGTTTAATAACAGGCACTGGGTATTCCAACAAGATTCGGCGCCAGCTCATAAAGCGAAGAGCACACAAGACTGGCTGGCGGCGCGTGAAATCGACTTCATCCGGCACGAAGACTGGCCCTCCTCCAGTCCAGATTTGAATCCGTTAGATTACAAGATATGGCAACACTTGGAGGAAAAGACGTGCTCAAAGCCTCATCCCAATTTGGAGTCACTCAAGACATCCTTGATTAAGGCAGCCGCCGATATTGACATGGACCTCGTTCGTGCTGCCATAGACGACTGGCCGCGCAGATTGAAGACCTGTATTCAAAATCACGGAGGTCATTTTGAATAAACTTTAGTGTCATAAGCATCTATGTTTTGTTAAGTTCATTTTGGTATATGAATGGTTACATAATGAATAAGCTTGTTTCAATTATTTTACATTAAACATGTGACAGAATTTATGACCTGACTAGGTATATATTTATCGGCTACGATAAGCGTTAAATATCAGACTGAGCCGTGAGATGATCTGTTCGACTTTGCCAAGTGAGTGTCAATCTAAAGATTAATATTTTCAAATTATTTTATCTAAATCGGCCGTAGGTACTTAAAACTACGAATTAAAGTATCATTGTTTTTGATACAAACTTGCGAGACGAATATTCTAAGCGAAATAAAGGAGACTCACATAAAAACGCAGAGAAACACAATAAATGAGCAAACATCTCACGAAACTTTATTATTCGTTTTAATGAAATCAAATCGAAACTACACGTACATACGATTTATTTTATGATTGTTTTCTAATTAAAGTTGACGTGACTTACGACATTAAAACCCAGTAAACAAGTTTATATTTGAATTGAAGTCATCTTTTGTACTGATTGGATTTTTATGTATACATAATTTTATTTGTTAGCGTAAAAGAGCGGGTATATCATATTAGACCTTAGTGAAGAAGTTGCAGTTATAGTTATAGATCGCATATTTTTTTTCACATAATTGTTATGCGCCTGTTACGGTTTCTTTGTGATATTGTTATAATAATTTAGTGCGTTATAAGGTCATCTATAATATCGTTTGAATTTTAACACTTACATTTGACACGTTTTTGTGTATGTTTGTTTGCACGTAACAGAGTGTTTGATCGTCATTTTCATCAGGGGATTCGCTTAGTGCAGTCTTTCTCAAAGTGGGCGATAACGCCCCCTTGGGGGCGTTGGAAACCTAAAGGGGGGCGTTAAGGGGCCCAGGAAAAAATGGGGGGCGTTGATGTGGGTTAGGGGGGCGCTGTAAAATTTGTAATTTCATTTACTTTATAGTATTTTAAATTTCACTAAAATTAAAACTCACCTACTACACAATAACGAATAATTAGTTTATATTTCTACCCTGTATGATGTTAAAAAACTTAAAATAATTAACATAGATTTCGTAGGATAGCCCACACACCGTACGCAATCAAGTTGTAACAAGTTTCTGCGGAACATGATCGATGATAGTTAAAAAATTAGAGCAATTTTACCTTAATTACATTGCACCAGACATTATATTAAACATTAGAAAAAAACTACCACGCAGAGTTTTAAAATATTACACATACGTAAACTAACACAAATGGAGGTTTTCTTTACTTTCTTTCTTGTTTTTAACATAAGGGCATTTTACAGCATTTTCCTAGCATTCTATAAGAAATTACTGATGTAAGAATCATAATTTTTATATAAAATGGAAATGCGTATATAATTATTGTTCAAAAACTTGTCTTAGATTATTATTTTTTACAATTTACCCACTACCGTCCAATGTCAAATAGTATAGTAAGCCTAAACAGCTCACTTATTGTAAACATTGTTTACTATTTTATTTCTATATAATAATAGGACGGGGAAAAATTTCTTCGCATTTTAAAAAAAAATTCACAACATTTTTTAATATAGTTTATTCACATTCAACTAAAGTATGTCGGTACCATTTTGTTCGATAACTTTTTGCCATCTTGTAGGTAGGTTCCATTGCTATAGAACATGATCCCATTGCTATAGAAATTTTAGGGCTTCTGATCAAAATACCGCGACAATTGGTTTTGGCAGTCCTCTCGTGATGTTAACCTGACACTGCCTAAAGAATTCTGAAGAGACCGAAACAGGTAGAAATCTGAAGGTGCAAGATCAGGCTATACGGCGGATGCATTAACACCTCTCAGCCAAGCTCTCTTAATTTTTGCTGAGTGGCTAAAGATGTGTGAGGTCTAGCGTTATCGTGATGAAAAACCACACCCCCTCTGTTGATTAATTCCGGCCGCTTTCTCTTAACTTCTTGCTTTAATCTCATCAGTTGTTCGCAGTAGAGTTCAGAACCGATGGTCCTGCCTGGTGGTAACAGCTCATAATGTATAATGCCCTTCCAATCCCACCACACACACAGCATCACCTTGTTGCGAGTTAACCCGGGTTTCGCCAGTCTGTGAAGCCTGACCGGCCTTTGACCACAACCTTTCTCGTTCTTGTCGTAAGTGATCCACTTTTCATCACCAGTTATCAGCTTCTTCAAAAATGGTTCGGTTTCATTACGTCGTAATAAAGAATCACAAATGAGTACACGGTTCATTCGGTTTCTTTCAGTGACCTTTTTTGTGTACCCGGTTTTTTCAAATGCGCCATAACAATTTTGTGGTCAATTCCCAGTTCTTCAGTTACGTCGTAACTACTGATATGCCGATCTTGCCCCACTTTTTAAAAAATGGCATCGATTTTATCCGTAATAGGGCGACCAGAGCGACGTGCATTTTTGACATCAAAATTTCCGGATTGAAAACGCTTAAACCAAATTTGTGCTACTCTCACAGACACTGCACTAGGTTCATAAGCATCGCAAATTTTTTTCACGGCTTGCGTTGCTTTATTACCTTTTTGTAGTAAAATTTTAAAATGTATCGAATATCTTCATTAGATTCACTCATCTTGACAGTACGAAAAATAAATAAAAGTCACACATCTTCCTAATTTTAATTTGGAATTATCTTCTTTCAAATTTAAACTTTTAATGATACCAAAAACAGCTAGATACAAATAGTATAGCCAAAGAGATTTTATTACAAGTTCATACATTTTTAAGCTATTGCATAGCTTTTATCGCGGGCCTTGAGCGCGGCGACTGAATTATGAAATTCCGTAACGAAAAAAACCTAACATCCCTCACTCCGCCTACCATGTAGCTCGCGTTCAACACATTCACAC